AATGGCAAAAGACTGTAGATCGATTGCAGCGATATTTATAATAAAATTTTTCGTTAATTCTCCTCAAATCATATAACAGGTTTAAAGGACATGATGCGAATTAGTTTTCAGATGTGACGCAGTATCGACAAAGTTATTATTATTTTTCGAATGAAAAGAGGGAAGTGCCTAAATTAAAAAGAGGAATTAAGTGGCTATTGCAAATTCAAAGTATAATTCAGAGTTATTTATTTTTTTTATCTTTCATATTCCCCCTACAAGGAGAAAAAGACTTGGCGATAGAAAAGCGTTTTGAGAAGAAAGCATTCGAGTGTTAGCAAAGGAAAAGAAATTTTGTACTATATTTACACTTTCAATGAGAAAACAAATAAATGGCTTCAGGATGTAATTTAGAAATACTGCAACAAAATATCATTCTGTAAATTACATTTAGAGTCCAATTTGAAAGTTATTGAGGAAATGTAGCTTGAAGATCACATAATAAATTTTATAGTTTTCTGAAAGCCTTTAGCCAAAACTGGTATAATCAATATAAAATAAAATACTTCAATTATATATCCGTGAAATTCTAGTAAAATTAGTAATTATTTACGCATTCTAAAACAAAAAGACATGTTATTATTGTAGAGCAATGTGATAATTAATACACAAACACTAAGAAAATGTAATACAATAATAAACTTTGATGAAAAAGCGGCAGGTCCTTGGCAGAAAAATGGCAGAAGCGAATCAGCATAAAATCTTGTGTGATGCTTAAATACAATTACACATGCAAACATCTTTCTTATGCAAGGTAGACTGGCATAACTGTCCTTCAGCTTTATGTAAAAAAAAAAAAAAAAAAGAAAGAAAAAAAAAGAAAAGAAAAGAAAAAGAAAAGAGAGAGAGACCTTTTTTTATTTACTTTTTATGGCCGAAAATTCTTTATAGTACGTACTTTTAATAAAAAAATAAATATACAAAAATGAAAATTCAAGTTAAGAAAAATAACTTGTATAATCAAGTAAGTTTTAGAAATTTAGTAAATATAATTTTATATCACACTCTAATAATAATTTAAAGAAATACTTTTAGATGAAGAGAAACCAAATTGAGAGAAATAATCAAATATGGAGTAAAATTGTCACAATTAAAGATTTCAATATTTATAATGATATTTTTTTAAGGAAACTTTTCATGCAGTATAAAAATTTTGAATACATCCATTAATTATTCTATATGATCACAATAAATTTCATGATTTTTATAACTAATTTTCATTCCATTTAACATCACTTGAAGTAATTTTACTGAATTAATGCTATTCATTATTATGATGATATTTTTAATTGACCTATTTTGAACAAAATGGAAGATTCCACAGCCTTCCCTAAATAGTAAAATTTCCATCTTGTGGGAAAATCCATTTGAACTAACTTGTGTGTTTGTTCTGTACCAATGGCCAAGGGAGTTATGGCAGTTAATTTTAAAAGGCTTCTCTGTTTAAAGACAACTAGACTTTTTGAATTGCACTAAAACATTCCATTCTATTGGGAAAAAATTCATTCCAGTATAAAAATAATAATTATATATGAAAAGATTAGAAAGTAAGAGCCTTCGAAATTTATATTCACTCCATTCTTAAAATAATTAGAAAATTCTTAGACTTCAATTTTTAAACAATAATCTCTGTTAAAATAATTGAGAAATTCAAAATATTAATTCAGACATAGTTGTAGAATTATGCAAAAATATATTAATCGTGTTAATAACCTTCACTAAATAAAATCTTAAAATTCTTTAATTTTTTAAACCAAATTAGCAAAATTCGAATTCCTAGTACCATATAATTTTTAATCTTTCGTTTTTCATAAAGCAATGCTAATTCCGTATTCAGATTTTCAATGTAATAAAAATAATTAGCAGTTTTATATAATATTTCCAAGTTGCACTAAATAAAATACTTTTCTTTTATTCCCAAAACACTTGATATAAAATTTTAAAATTCATAGAACTATTTGGATTTTATTTTACTGATGTGACTGTAATTTAACACAATATATCTGAAAGAAAATAACTATGAATTTGTTGGAGATCGTAATTTTGATTTGCTTTTATTAACGACCATGATATTAAAAATGAAGACAGGAAGCAAACATAAATTTATCGCGCACGCACATTTGAAGCACATTCTATAAACAGAGATTAATGACAGGGGCGTAGCTAGAGGGGGGCAAGAGGGGGCATCTGTCCCCGGGCGCAGAATCCAAGGGGCGCCAAACTGATGTTACATTTTAGAATTAAATGTTTTCCATCCTTGGCAAGCAGTAGGAGGCGCGAAATCTTCAGTTGTCCCTGGGCTTTGAAAACCCTAGCTACGACTCTGATTAATGACCTTCAAAAGCACTCGGAATGCATAGCTGAAATGATGTAAGATTTTGTTTCTCTTTTTTTTTTTTTTTTTTTTTTTCTTCTAAACAGTGAAGTAGGCGAAATAAATTCGAAACGACGTTATAATGAACTGCAGTGATAATTACATTGCGTTTTCTTTACAGGTTAAAATTTTTGGACTTTCAGATAAGCAGGCATATTTATTTGAATTTTATCGGTATTTTATCAAAATCCAATTGGGGGATAAATCTTTCCATTGACATTTGTATAGCACAGAAACAATCCTGTCGACTTTCTATGATGCTGTTTTGGCGGAAGGTGAAACCAGTTCACTTTTAGTCGCAGCCGAGATAATTTTGTAGGTGATAGTTGTAATGGACTCGCAATGTAATATGTTTAGTGTATGGGGGGTGGAATGATGCAATTGCAGACAGAATTGCCCGAATTCAACATAATTATATACAGCAATTCTGGAGACGCAATGTTTGCTTCAAAAATGATTATGGATGCAATAGGCCTTTCACAGTTTTGTACACGCAGCTACATTTTAGAAGAATGCGAATAAGCGAAGAGACGTGAGTTATTCAAGACAGAACAAATCGCAAAAGACCGTGCGTAGACGGATTGCAATAATATTTATAGAAAAATCTTTTCGTTAATCCCATCAAATCATATAACTGTATGTAATGCAGAAGGTTAAAATGACATGAAACGAAATTAGTTTTAAGATGAGATGTAGTATTGAAAAAGTTATTATTTTTTTTAAATAGAAAGAGGGAAGTGCCCAAATTAAAAAGACGAATTAAGGAGCTACTGCTAAATTAGTTTGAGATTACTAGTGTAAACATGAAATTATAAATGGGAGCACATGAGTATTTTTACCAGAAACCATGAATGGGAGAATATCGGTATTTTTACCAGTTTTGATACAATCGTTAGACGCATGATGGCCGGATCTTCCATTCGCGCGACACCACAGAGAACTCAATCCGAAACATTATAAAACACAGCGTCATGGTGTAGGATATTATCACATACCTTTTTTGCTCCTGCCATCTACGAATGGCAGACACTATGAATAATCTATGTTACATTTGTGAAGTACTGGAACCAGAAGTGTTACTATTGCTGTAGAAACGTACAGCGATTACAGTCCAGCAAAATTATGCTACTGCAAATGACGAACACATTCTTCAACATTTCCTATGCGACCAGCATATTCACAAAGCCTACAGACCATTTCACCACGGTCTGCTCTCATTGGATGAAACATCTGTTTGGCGGTCATATTTGGGATGGTGAGTTATCGCCCTGTAGGCGTGGTAATTAACGCCAAACAAACGGAAACAGCGTTTATTTCATTCGATATTTTTTTAGTTTATGAATGAAAGCTTGGAGGAATTGTGTGGAATATATTTTAAATAACTTACTGATCTTATTAATAGTTTATTTGTATTTGAATTTAAACTTTTAAAAGTACGTAATATTTTTACAAGAAAAAGGTATTTGCATGGAGATAGCATATGCACGTTTTCGTCATTTCTCTTAGAAAGAGTCTGATGTGTAAATTTCCATAGCGCATTCATTTATACAAATAAAGGAATATTAAAAATAAACCAAATGAAAACATTCAGTAAACATTTAAGGGCGTCGGATACCTATTCTTTTTTACCTACATTAAGTATAACTAAAATTATATTTTATTCCATTCTGCGCTATTTCTATTGAAATGCTTTTCGGGATCTTGGATGGTAATCTTGCTACTGGTATCTACTATAAAGAGTACAAACCAGTAAATAAAAATAAGAAAAATTAACAAAAAAGTAAAGAAAATAAAGGCGTTTAATTTTTAACACCGCACCCGAAGGCGAAAAGAGAAATAATGACAAAGCCATTCAATAAAAATAAAATAAAAATGTGTAGAGCAGAATTCACGAAAGCTACAAGCAGGGATAGAAACGGCGATCTGAGAATATTTTCCGCGCTCGTTACCGCTGAGCTGCGGTTTCTCTAGTGGGTTGTGCACAGATTTTGGTACACCAGGCTCAAACACTAATTGTAAAGGCGATGAATCAAAAGTCGCCAAGTACTAGGTTCTGTAACCCTATGTTTCCTGTTTTAACCAATCGGAGCAAACAGCAGTAGAAACGGTCTGTAGGCTTTGTCAATAAGCATGCGACCAGTAAAAGCTCTTCCTTCGTCATATTTATACTCCATACAACCAGCACGCGATATAATTACTAGAAAGGTGACTCATGAGTTTTGGATGCATAATTCAATGTGCATGGAATGATATTCTTTAGACAGCCATACGAAATCGTTCAATTGCATGCGATCAACTTATAAGTGCTAAAGTGGTACAAACAAAAGGGCTAAATTTAGCCTGATCATTCTGATTTTTTGTTTTGAAATCTTAATCATTCATATCTTGCATTACATGCTTTGTCTCAATAAATACCTTTGTTGTAACTCGTGTTTTTCTTGATATCTTAGTTTTTCTGAACAGCACTGGTCGCACACTACTCAAAACAATTAGTAGGTAGTATGGTATTGAATATAAAGTGCAGATGAAGGAAAATTATGTTAGCTAATATACAGTATTTTTACCTATAAGCAAAGAAACACGCGCGGAACAATGAATGATTAAGTTTTATTCTCTCTCTCTCTCTTTTTTTTTTTTTTTTTTTTTTGTCAGTAAACAAAAGATAAACAATTTATACATGTAATAAAAACGACAAAATATATGATTTCTTGGATCAAAATGAGTTTTAATAAAAGGTACTTATTAAAATATTCTTTTCCGCTTCTATAGAAAAGTAGTTTTCAGTTGCTGAACTGTTTTTGAGGGTGATGAACATAACCCTTCTGACAAGAATATCCCACATACGTTTGATTGAGTTTATATCTGAGGAACATGCTGGCCAATCCATTCGAAGAATTTCTTCGTCGGAAAGGAAGTCGTCCACTAGTCGAGCAGCATGTGGCCTGCTGTAATCATGTATAAGCAGAAGTGGATGGAGCTATCAAGAATTCCGAAAACTTACCGAGGCGCTGGTGACAGCACCACATCGTCTTGTAACATTAATAATTGTAGGTTTCTTGCAGTAAAAAGTAATATACTCATTTAAAGAAAAATATTTAATGGCTACCCCCCGCCAAAAATAATAAAACAGAAACGAGGCATAAACTAATGGTAAACGCAGTAAACCTATTATCTTAACTCTGTCGTCTGTTAGCTCATCGGAAATTCACCTTTTGAATTTAATTCTTTATTTCATAGCATAAAAGCGGGGAATTTGCATACCCCAACGATTTCATAACGATGTCGGCATCTCTATGCAAGTTGGTGACCATTCGCCAAAATAGGAATTTTCACATGAGCGTCTCGGCATCTTAACGGAGGTTGCATTCTTCGTGATGTAAGCTGAGATGAGAAGCATATATATCACAAGAGCATATATATCATATGTCCTGTACCTTAGTGTCTTTGTATCAGGACACACCAGTGTCTAAACAAAGAACGGCCAATTTTCATGAAAGTGCCGGCACCCTTTTGCAGATTGCCTGTGTTCAGATCAATTTAACCCTGTCCATAAGAATGAATCTGCCCTGACCGTTGAATGTAACGGTCGATAAAAGGAACGGAATTTCATCCATTTATCGCTAAGTCCTCAGTTTTTCATATTTAATGTTTATAAACCGGTTAGACCATTAAAAAAATTACCGGTTCACATTATCATTTCGCCTCAATCAAATCGGTTCGTTTCGTTCAAGAATGCAGGTGCGACATTCTACCCAAATGATAAGTTGCCAATTGTCAGATTGCACATTAAAGCGGGACTCATTTGAGAATAAACCATTGCTCTATATATTTTGTTTCCATCCGTGATATTCTTCTGCCTAGTTTCTGCGGGCACCACGGTGGCCCACTTTTGAAGAAATACAAAAAGTAGATCTGCAAGCATACAAAATAATACTATTCCGAACAATTTAAATTGGAAAATTGGAGCCAGCAATCCTCAGAAAGTCTACTGTCTTAAATACTAGTCCTCACTCTTTGTTATTATACGCCTACGATCTTCTTGTGGTCTTCGTCTAACATTTCTAGTTTCCAGTAACTTACTCCATAACTTGATAATGGCACTTAAAGGCTTCCACTAAAATAGGTTGGATTTAGCCCACTTCTAAACGATAGACATCCTTCCAGGCTATCGATGCGGTTAAGGCGTATTGTTGAGACATTGTACTGACTGCTGAAAAACATTCTACGCATATCAAGTTGTCTCTGACCTCCTACTACAAAAATAATGCTGCTTCATAACTAATTAATTAAATTTCTTCATTTTTTAAACATGCAAACTTCTTTATATCACAGTATAACTTAAAGCGTGCAAAACAAAATAATTAATGTTTTTTCATGGCTTTGAACTGACACAGGTAGAAAAGAAAAAGATTTCGTGTTCATTTACCTTAAATGACAGTATGTGGACTGTTTCTCAACGCCCTAGATAGATAAAATGCCTAAGATGACAAAGACCCGTGCTGTCAGGTATGCAGGTAGCCCTGTAACTTTTTCTCTGACGATTTGTAAAAGAATCTGAGTGTATCTGAAATGTTCTTTGCCGAACTCTTTTATAAGGTGTCAAATTGTAATCTGAAGTTTTGAAGATTGCAAATTGTCTTTCCTCCTCCTTTTTTCTTTTGCTTTTGAAACATCGTGCATACAGCATATGAAATCTCTCTTTTCTAAAAAAGTATGCTACCTTGTTGAATTTTCCGAATGTTTTTATCACGGAAAACTAAAATAAGTGTGGAAGCTTTTCTTCAAAAAGCACATTTTCCGTGACTGTTGGAAAATAGATTGATATTAGAATTCCTGCAAATAAACTTTCAGCATATTTGAATAATACAAATTTTGCCCACGTCTTGATGGCAGATCAAATAATATTACAGCTACCGAAAACAGCAGATGTGTTTTGACATTCTGTTTGGGTATTATATCGAAACAGTGGCAATTTATTTACCCAGAATATGCACAGATTGTATTTTCAGTCTACAAATATTGCAGTAATGGTATCAACTTCTTTCTTTACCTTCTTACTCCTGTGAACAAGAGTATTTAAAAGACAAAAATTTCTCATGTGTAATTTGTGTATTAGATGAAGAAACATATCCAGTCTATTTTTCGGTTTACTAAAAGGCAAAAAATATTTAATGAAATGAAAATACAATCCTGCAATCTTCAGTATGTATTTCTCTTTTTAATTAATATCAAGATTATGATATTTAATGGTAGTCTTAACAAGCTTTTCATTTCTCATGTGAAGAACAACAAAAAAAAAAAAAAAAAAAAAAATCTGTACTGTCATTTTATTTGATAAAATGACACATTTCTGAAATGCACAAATATTTGAAATATACGAGTTTGAAATCCGTACATTACCATGATGCCATTTTACGTTCTCGAATCGTTTTTAAATTCTTGGACACTTCCGGTTTCCGTGGTAATTTGAACGCTACATCACAAAATTCGAAATATATTCCATATAAACCTATGTTTTGTTCTTTCATGTCATGGTACACAACATAATCTGTATATTCTGGCTTACAGTACGTATAGAATAACAGGAAAACAGATCCTATGATATGACATCCTCCCATCACCGATATTACAACATACTCATGTTCTGCCCAAGCGGTATTTTCTTTGAAGAAAATCCATAAGCACACGAAGAAAACGTTTTCTAATAACAAAACAGATAGATATATTAATACACGACTATGTTTTCTCAGTTCAAACATAATAGGCCAAAAGACAAGGGATGGCATTCCGAATACGGAGAATATGAGAAAGAAAAGAGCGAATTTCCTTTTAGGAGTGAGGACCTCAAGAGATGTTCTTTCGAATTTATAAGTCTCTGCAGCGATAATTGATAACCACAAGGATATAAGTATGCCGTGAACGATGCAAACGAGGACGATCCATCCATGAATAACCGTGGTGACCAGAGCCAATGCTACAGTGCGCGATATCATGATAGATGTCCATCCAATTAATGCCAATACTGCTGTCAGTTTGGAGTCATCATGACGTCGGATAGCAGCCATCATCGACAAAAGAATCAGAACAGATGCTATGATTTCTTCAGTCACTTGGAAAAGGAAACATTAAAAAGTACTTCATTCACTTAAAATCATACATTAACATAATTAAACATTTTCTTAGAATTTTTTTTAATTACTGCATGATGGTTATATTTTATGAATGAACATAATGTATTATTTATAAAAAAAATAACTAAATCAATCATAGATTAAGTGATAAATCCAAAATAGTGTCGACTATTTACAAGAGCTGAAAAAAAATTGTCTCCTTGGAAATTAAGCTTTTGGCTCCAGTTTTCCCCTCTTTTTTTAACATCACACGAAATTCAGGCTGATGACATTAATTTTAGATAAATTCACGTTTTGTGCATTAAGTGCTTTTTATTTAATCTCGAATGCATGAAATGTTTCCTTAACATTTAAAAAAGGTTAGTTATAGTTAGACTGTTGTTTGAGAAAACAGCTTACCGGTTCTTCTTGTTCTATGAATTGTGGTATAATCTACCGTCAGTTTTCTGTAGAGTTGATTAGAGTGACTTCCCTCACTACTCAGACAACATTTTATCTGCTACTATACAATTAGCTACAATTCAGCAAGTAAAAACTCCTGTTATTTGAATTCTCTACTACATCCCAAGTGTCATTAAGAGTAATACTTCCAAAGTGAGGATTTTCTTCTTCTTACATTAATCTTGACAAAATTCGTTTGAAAACAGGCTTCGTAAGATCTGGCAGTCAAATAAAATTCTTGCATTCAGGTCGCATACGACAAACCTAAACTCTGTGTTAAATTTAGGAATAATAGATGGAATAATTTCGTCAACAATTTTCTAAAGCTAGTAGCTAAGAGGAAAATTTACGAAATTCCTAAGACAAGACTTAATCGGTCACATAAACTAAAATGGAAATCAAATTCATAACTCTAATTACGTAGCAAATAACTTTCCAGTTACGTATCAAAATCAATGAAATCTCTGTCCAAATATTCAAAATATAATGACTTTACGAGCATCAGTATTTAAGCTTTCAGTACGCCAACATCTCCTTGAGAAATTAAAACATTCATTGTTGGTTTAAATGCAAAGGAAGGGCCTGATTACTGTATAGAGCTCCAGGTATTAAGAGACTCCAAATAGGTATATATATCCTCATAACCATATTTTCGTGTCATAAAGAAGCCGGAAAAAATCAAAACGTTACATTAAATTCCCAAGCTCACTTTCTATTATTTTTAAACTATTCAAAAACATTTTAGTTATTTTATGATTAGTTAATGTTACTTAAACTAGTTAATTTTGCATGCAATATAATTTATAATTAACTAATAAATAACTATGTAATTAACGAATAAAACTAATTAATTTTATTTCCTAACACAAATTATTCTCATTGAAACTCTCATTCAAATTATTCTCAGCTGTTTTAGAAAAAGTTTTTTCATCTCCACCAAATTTCATGTATACCGAAAACTATCGATGAAAGTTTTAAAACAAGAGATTTGCAACAATTCTCTTGGACAGTGAAAAAACATTTGATAAGATATAGCATACTGTTCAAGCTCATTCCTTTAAATTTTCCTCCAGAAATAATCAAAATTACTGCATATTATCCTAATCACGGGACATTTCATGTCCGTTATCTTAGACAACAGACTAACTTTTAGAAAATACGTATTCTATATGAGAGGTAACGCTTATAAGGAACTAGTGAGTATTTATTCCATCACAGGGCGTAGATAAAAACTAGAGAATCAAAACTAACAGAATTGCCTATTTGTAGTACAAAATTAAAAGAATATCAATTGTCTATTTTTAGTATAAAATTTAGTGTTAAAACTAAAAGAATTGTCTATTTGGCAAATGTTACAGCCTACGCAGCTATATAGTATGTGTTGCCTGGCTAGACTAGGCGGTCTGTGCACGGTCAGACAGACTTATGTTACAAAGACTTTCCAAAAAGCACTACGAATCATACTCAACGATCCTTGGTTTTTATGTAATATAATACTGTATCACGACCCCAAAATCAGACCCATTGGTCATGAAATATATGCATCTGTGTCCAACTTTTACAAGAACTGTGAGAACCAAATCTCCAATAGCATAGTGTGAGAAATAGTTATATTTAAGATTATGGTTATTTGAATATATTTTATTATTTGAAGCATAAGTGGCCACGAACTGTTCTTCATAATGGAAGATGGTCTGACATCTGCAGATTTAATTTAAAGATGACAATCTAAGACTGAATTTCACCTAATTTTATAATTAAAATTTATTTGCTTCTCTTAGCTGTGTCATATATTCTTTAATTCCAAAACTTAATAAATTTAATCTATATCCTTGAAACATAAGTAAAAGAGATAGAAAGGTATACTTACGAGCCTTATAGCCCTTTTTATTATCAAGTGTTGAAATAATCATGTGTAACTGCAAGGTTATTTGAATCAGCCCCGCATAGAACTGGTGAAAAAACGCCAACAAAGCCGTCTGTCTTTCCAGGTATGATTTTTTTTTCATTTCATCCGATGTCAAATGCCGTTTTTGACAAATATGTTCCGAAGAGAACTGCAATAATTCCACCCGCCTGGAAGAAAAAATATCAAGGTATATAAACGAGGAAATTATATTGTATGTAATACACAAATTGACTTTTCTTTTTAATGCGAAGCTATGTGTGACAAATAATAATAAAGAAACATCATTTTCAAGTTTAATTGCAAACATTCCGTGTGGGTTTCTAAACAATATTAAGACTACAATCAAAAATTCAAGCTGTACTTGCTCCAGTAATAATGAGGTTTTTAGAAGGACGTCTGCTTATTGGCAAAATTTATACAAGCACAACATCTCTCTAGAAACTTTCACCAGAAATAAAAAAAATCATAAGCATATAAACTTCACTAAAATTTAGAAGTTCATCTCAGGAACACGTAAAACATTGGAATTGTTCAACAACTGTTCTACAATTACGACACAATAACACGCCGAATAAATACTAATTCAGAAGTCCAACAACAAAAATCAGCGTTATACCTACAAAATTTTCACATGACTAGTTTCGATGGTTTTACCGAACCATCATCTTCAGCTGCAAAACCGCAAATGAACAAGATAGGAAATAATGATTAGATAAGATAAGAAAGCCTGGACAAGAATAAGCAAGTGGCGCCATCTGTTGGCGAAACCAGAACTAAAACATAATTTCTGTAAAAGCCGAAGGCAAATTTGAATTGGAATTAGGATCGTTAACTAGAACAGAAAGATTTTTATGAATGTGAAATGCCTCTAGAAAATCCAGTTCTCCAATGGAAGATATTTTTTGAATAATTTTGGCAGCAGAAAAATTGAAAGTGTGATTTTCGGACCAACAATGTTGAGCAACAGAAGACTTCTGTGTTTCCTTTTTTCTAACATATGCCTCATGTTCTTTGACGCGAAATTTTAAGGCTCTCTTAGTTTGGCCAATGTAAATTAAACCACACTGGCAAGGAATCCTATAAAACACCAACATTATTAAACCCAACATTATTAATCAAGCAGTTAAAAAATTCTCATCTGAACACACTAAAAGCCACACTCTTATTTTAGGAGATTATAAAAATTCTGTTGTCATTCCCTTCTTTCCATCAATTAGCTATAAAGTTGCACATATTTTGCAGAAATTTAACTTTCGGTTGTTTATTCTTTATTCTCCCATCAATAAAATTCCAACTTCTATACTCAAGGACCCCATTCCGGATATGAATTCCTGGGGTATTTATAGGATTCCTTGCCAGTGTGGTTTAATTTACATTGGCCAAACTAAGAGAGCCTTAAAATTTCGCGTCAAAGAACATGAGGCATATGTTAGAAAAAAGGAAACACAGAAGTCTTCTGTTGCTCAACACATTGTTGGTCCGAAAATCACACTTTCAATTTTTCTGCTGCCAAAATTATTCAAAAAACATCTTCCATTGGAGAACTGGATTTTCTAGAGGCATTTCACATTCATAAAAAATCTTTCTGTTCTAGTTAACGATCCTAATTCCAATCCAAATTTGCCTTCGGCTTTTACAGAAATTATGTTTTAGTTCTGGTTTCGCCAACAGATGGCGCCACTTGCTTATTCTTGTCCAGGCTTTCTTATCTTATCTAATCATTATTTCCTATCTTGTTCATTTGCGGTTTTGCAGCTGAAGATGATGGTTCGGTAAAACCATCGAAACTAGTCCTGTGAAAATTTTGTAGGTATAACGCTGATTTTTGTTGTTGGACTTCTGAATTAACTGTTCTACTACATTTAAAATCACTACACTCAAAAGTCCAAAAATACATTTCAAGTCCAAAAAACAAAGTAAACACAAAAATCTGAACGCTTTCAGATTGTATATTAAACTAAACTATAAAGATCTGAAATATAAAATCTGAAAGCTCTCAGATTATATTCACAAGAATTGGCAGGAGTTGTTCTTGTGTAGGACAATTTCATTGATCTTCAACCCAGCCTGGCAAATAACCAATTTCAGTGCTGCTATTCGACATGATGTAAAACCTTTAATTTATCTTTCAGATTAAAACTGTATTGCTGAACAATGTTCGCCATATAAAAGCAATGAATGCAGGTCTTGATTTTGCTTTCTTACTAATGTATCAAACTGACATAATTAAAATATTATATTTAATAATAATAATTGTAAAATTATATATATAATTATTAAGAGAGAATGCTTTCTGTTGTTCGTAATATAAAATATAGTAGAAATATGAAATAAATTTTAATAAGTAGAGTGCAGATGAGTGAATTTTTTCGCCCGACAAAGTGATGATTGGTTAACAATTATGGCAGAGCTCATTATCTGGCTTAGAATGAATGTCTTCATGGTAGACATTGTAAAGGAAACTGCATTATATTCACGTTACAGATGAAATGGAAATAAGTTGACCTCAAATATACAAACGCGTGTTATTAATAACTTATGGAACTTGACTGGTCGAAGAGATGAGAGCTCATTTCCTTACGTTACTACGAAGCTTCTTTGATTTAGAAAAGAATGGATTGATTTCACAATTTCTTTGCAGAAGTTCAGCTGAATTAATTTATACACAAGAAAATCGCACCACAATCGGTCGGATACTTTTGAAACGTCCAGGAGCAAAATTGCAACACTTTGTTTATTGTGAATTGCAGCTTCTGCTGACGTGTGGTTTGGTTGCTTACAGATTTCGGCGGAATCCATACTGTTCTTTGGGGAGCAGTTTAATGCAGTTTGGGATCTTTGGATATAATATTTTCTCGTATCTTTTGCTGATCCTAGAGAGGAGAATTATCGGACGATATCCGTCGGATTTAGTTGTGCCTTTTTTCGGTTATTAAAGGAGCGTAACTAGTGCTGTTTTTCATGGGGTGGGAAAATACGAATTTGCTAAACAGTCGTTAGTCACACTTGTAAGTTTGTTTTGAGTTAAAAAGTGTCAGTTCCCAATTATTACGTCACCAGCGCTGCGCAGGCCGTACAGAAAGGAATGATCTAGAAATGACGCAGTCCAGAGAATTATTACGATTTTTAGAACCGAGAGGGAGAATTAAAGAGTTTACCGCTAGTTTAAATTATAATTTTGATTTACATATTTCTTTATCTTACACATATATATGTAAGAAAAATAAAGAATATGTAAAAGATTAACTTAACAGCGTAAATTAATTTCCCTTCTCTATTCTAGAAACAGCAACATCTATTTGCACTGGGTCATTTCGAGAAAAATCTATGTCGTATGACTCTTACGTAATTCTGGTGATGTAAATTGAACTAAAACTCAAGCAGCCAATAATAATTTTACAGCAATATTAACTATCCAATCAAAATGCTTTGACAACCAAAACTAACTCAGTTTGACTTAAGATTTCATCCTGAACATTACGCCTTTTCTTTCTACTTTTTGGCCTTGCTAGACTGCTGTCTGTCTGCTACTGCTTTCTTCCTACAAAGTTATGAAAAATGTAAGCCTTTTGGAACAGGCACATTTAATGTGCCGACTTGTGTGTAGCCGTAACATGTTGCTGAAAATAAAATTAAAGATTTAATCTGCCTTCGCCTCCAATTTCCCAGTCACTATGGATCTAGGATTATGGATCAACACTTCTACGCCATCCAAATTCCTGCTCCTGAATATATTACATATACATGTACAAAAAAACTCACTTTTTATTTTATAAAGTCTTCAAAATATTTCAGTATTTATTTTTATTTGATTCCTTTTCAAAGGATATACTAAGGCAATTCGCCATTTATACTCCTATGAATTCCATTACTTTACTAATAATTTTCCTAAAATGCCTGATATGCGTTAAGTTTTTGTTAAATTCTTGAACACGTGGTTCTTAAAATATAAGACTCAATTACTTAAAAATGTAAGACATATCTGGTAATTATTCTCAGAAGCTCATTATCACAGAAACAATGTGAAAAATAATGATTTCTAGCGACACGATTTTACTCCGAAGCGCTAAAGTTTTTTCAGATATCGTGTTGGTTACTAGGCCTACCAGCAACCGAGTGGATAAGAACATTAAATACTGATAGTTCAATCTGGTTTCAAACGGACGGATCTGGTAACGGATTCGTTGCATAAGCTCTTCGTGTTTTTCCTGATGAGTAATCAAGGCGAGCCACTTGCTTAATACAGGGATTCCAAACCAGGGGTGCTTGCACCCTTTGGTAGCGTTGTAGGGAGTGTGAGTTAATGTTTTAATTTTTTTTTAAATATAAATTAAATAATTCTTTAAAACATTACACGCGTGACACAGGTGCGTGCACAAAAACTTAAGAAAATTTTATACTCTTTCAATTCGGGTAATATATCGGATGACGAACTAAAGGAAGATCTTTTAAAACTATGCACGTATTATATGTTCTTGAAATGCAGTCTGAAAGCAATACTTCGGAACAATATTAGTATTCTCTCTCTCTCTCTTTTTTTTTTTTTTTTTTTTTTTTGAACACATACATTCCCTCCGTGCACCATAAATGTACAATACTGAGCCTACAAAAGTAAGTTTATTAAAACATTAAATATTACATGCATAAATAAAACGAACAAAAACAGAGAACAGCAGTTTAGACTTCATAAAAGCAGATACATTCACTGGCCAAGTCAAGCCAAACTTTTTTAAATCGTTCTGCAAGTATAATGTAGGTCTATCCAAGGGTAAAAGGGGAAAAAATTAAATGTGCTTTTTTTTTTATCACTTACATAAATTGTTTGATCTTAAATTAAAACGAAACAGGTAGCTTTCAAATTTACCGTGGCCAGATAAAAACTGGGATACTTTAAAATTAATGAAGCGGAAAGACATGGAATGCAATCTATAGTAAATAGACGGAAATAACTTTTTGGCGTCATAAGCAATACAAGATGATATATCTTCTTAATTCCACTTAGATAAAAGTTTTTTTTATAACAAAAAGACTTGTTTGGAATGCTAATATTGATATCAATGGGCAAATTTAAAGCATTTTTTTGCTAAGAAATCAGCTTTTTTATTTCCATAGAATCCATGATGACCAAGCACAGAAGCAAAACGGTCACCAATTCCCTTTATTTATCAAACAATATTGGTGTTCGGCAATGAATATGTAAAACTTAGTGAAAAGGCACTAATTGTGCTCATCCTAATATGCGACGACATACTTATGCGAGTCTTTATTTAGTGCTCTGTTGTCAAACAAAATTAAAAAATTGCTTAGGTACACAAGCAGGTACGCGAATTGCTATTAGCAACAAACTGCCACGATTTGAAAAACTCTCATCCAACAAACAGGAACAAAAGATCATTATTTTTCCTAAAGGTTTAAGTAAACTTTCATTTTTGTAATATTTTTTTAGTTCCACGTTTCATTTTCGTTTATTAATAAAATTTAATAATACAACTTTGTTTTCGTGTTGTTATTTTTATTAAGAAACTGGTTTTGGGAGTGCGAGAACGTATTAAAATTTTTTTTAGGGGGGGAGGATATGGAAAAGGTTGGGAATCGGTGTTTTAGTAAGAACACCTCCCTTTCCTTAGGCAGATAGCTCTCTCAATGCCTTAATTAATTAACCAGCCAACCAGATGCCATGTTGTGCGTAGGTTAATAAATCAGAAGAAGATTTGTTTAGTTTATTTTATTTGACTATGGCAAAACACACGAGATGCCCAAGGGAAGGGATGAGGGCTATTTACCCAAGGCTAGAGGATTTTCTAAGGGAAACTGGCTCATATCAACGCTACACATGGGAAAGCCATGATAACATCCATGCAGCTAGTTCGTTTGCTTGGAATCGAACCGAAGTCGAAGTACTAATGCTCAGCGACTTTATCGTTCGATCGCTGTGGGGGAATCAGAACAGGATTCGGCTTTGGAAGGAAGGGAGGGAAGTTTTTCAAAATGGCAAATGCAACCTAACCACTTAAGATTTCTTAGATGCAAAATTACTAGTAATGTTGAGGAAGAATGGGTTGCTTCTGACTAATAGGCTTAAAATTTTCATCCAGAAGCTATTAACGCTTCTATTTTAATCATATATAATTTCCTGAAATTTGGAATCGGGGAAATTACAATACGTTAATTGATGATAACAGAAACTATTTCAAACTCACTCTTTAATTTGCCATGGAACCAGCAGCAACCCATGCACGACCTTTGTAGCTATAGTTCGATTACTGGCGTCTTCTGTATCTTTGACATATGCTCCTACCATGAACAAGAGGTACATAACGGACGGAAGGAATAGACAAAAAGAAGACACTGTACAGGCACTTACATCCTTCTCCTCGTAATATTCCTTAACTGCTACGCTGTCCTGGTATACCTTGTTGAGGTAAATAGAGAGTTGTATCAAAGAAGTGATAAACAACCAATGGAACGAGAACACTCCACAAGCCATGTTAGGCTGCTTGGTATCGCAGTCTGAATCTTGACCGCATTCTGAATCCACCGTTTCAGTATTCTGAAAGAAAAAACTCTTAAAAATAGATAATTGAAGGAATTTGCCATCAAAAACTATTAGCTTATCAAGACTATACATGTTCACAATACGAATACCTAACATAACAAAGTTTCCTGATCAGAATCCTGTTAAGTACTTTTGAATTGCTCAAAACTGTATTATTTATCTACACAAATGTCTGCTACATTTACTGGAAATTTCGAGTACTTAAAGCCTCATTCCATATATACAAGTCGAAGAAACTTATTTCTTTTCACGATCATCCGAGCACTTACTTTACTCACATATATGGCCGGTGTTACAGGAGTGGTCACACCAGGTGGTAAAAGTTTTAAAATTTAGGGAAGCAACGGTCGGCAGAATTTAAGAGCTGCAGATCTGCAAATGTCTGCAGGGTGATTCGCTACCAGACAGAATAAACTTGCAGGGTGTGTAGGAATTAAAGAGACGACTCAAAATCCCATTGGAATGCAGGGTCGCAAATGGCGTATTTGCGAGCTGTGGTGCAAAGAAGCAGAGAAAAAGAACAGAAACAGCAACACATTAATGGGACAGAAAACATTTTATTGAAATATTGTACTACAACGGGTATTCGAAATTACGACCAGAAGTCGTCAGGCAAAGCAGCGCTTCATGGAATTTCTTACGTTCTGGAAGATTCCTCCCGGCAGTATTGTGGTAGATGGCTCTGAACGGAAAGTTGCGTTGTAATGTTGCGCGCTCCCAACCTGCACGCAACAATAGTGGTGACTGCTATGAACTGGAAAGTATACAAAGTCTTGAGAACGGTTTAAATCCCTTTTAATTCAACTTTAGAAATTACAATGCGTGCTCTTGACGCTCGCAAACTACGAACGCCGACCCGGCGGTAAAATAAAAATAAGAAACTAAAAAATCAATAATAACATGTGACTAACTACGAGGCTCTCTATAACGTAACTACTAACCTCAACCGCGTTCTAAGATACCGCTGACAATTCAGCAAACTTCTGAATATTACGTTGAAAATTTAACTATCTACTGAGGCAAGCACAGGCCGAACGCGTGGTTTCTTCAATTTCTAACTAGCCACCTCCACGCTCGTGCAGCAAGAAAGCACACTTTCGAACTCGTTTCCCTTTCTATTTAACTCAGATTACTTCTGCTGACAATTTGAATCCTTGCGCGTTCTACTAAAATTTACATACTCTGGCATTGGTAATTCCAGGGGAAAGTAAGGCTTGACAGGAAAGATAGTTTAAACTTAAAATAAATGTTAGTTAAAATAAATATAAACCCTACAGCGTGAACAGCGATCCTGCTGGAAGTCGTCATTTGCGATCCGTTTCCCGAAGTAATAGGATAAACTAATTCAAATGTATGTATGTAGGATGCATTCAAATGATGAACTGGTCGACATGCTGATCGTGTATGGACCTGCGGATTGTACGCTCGGCGGTTGTACCCGAACAGGAGTGCCTGTTCATACACACGATCTTCGCAAGTGTGAACAGAATGTTACGTGAGACTGGTTGTTTAACGAGAACTACAATGAATCGACAGTGAATAAGGAGGACACTTGGGATTGAGAAGGCGGTTTTACGTCTGGCAGAAGACAATCCGAGTACGAGTAGTCGAGCGATAGCCCAACAAGTAGTTTTACCTCAATCCATCTTCTGGAGGATACTCGCAACAAACCAAATGAGCGCATACCATCTTCATAGTGTCCAATTATTAGAGCCTGAGGATTGTACACTCCGCAGGACGTTTGCTACATGGTTTCTGCAATAGAGTGCTATAGACAGTGCATTTGCTGCGTCCATATTATTCACGGATGAAGCATACTTCACACGTGAGTTAGGCTTCAATCAGTATAACGCCCATTTATGGGCTTTCGAAAACGCTCATCGTACGTAACCACGTGCAGCTGAAGAGCGTTTCTCGGTCAATGTTTGGGCCGGCATTCTTGGAGACTACCCATACTGGAACTTCTGCTTAGTTCTTTGGACGGTAGGGCATACCTAATCTTCTTGGCAAGAGCCCTTGAGCACCTTACAGGTGACAGTGCGACTTTGCTCAGTTTCACCCTCAATTTTGATGAAGAGCACCTTGGGTTAACGGGTTCGAGAGTCTCCCCCCTCTTCTCTTACTCCAACCTCTCGGGAGGACTTTCGGCTTGCTGCATATTTAGAGTGCCCCCCATGTCGCATAAACGCTATACATTTACACACATCCATGCCTTCTCCGAGATTCTAATCGACTCTCTTCGGCACGGCACCCAGCAACGCCAACCATTATACTGGTTGGGCAGGTCTTTCTCATGTAATACAGAGCAGTCACAAGAATCTGATGATTTTGAAATTGAAATTAACACCATGAAATGTAATTCAAATATTTATTTCATTTGAAAAAACAATATGATATATTTTGCCACTTAAGCTACGAAATGTCATTACTTTCTTCAGTACCTATGATTTTAATAAAACATTTTCAAATGTTATGTGTGAAATCTGATATTTTTTCAGTATTATTAATGTAGATCATAGTCTGTTTCATTTGCATCCATTGCATAGTTCATATATATTGTTGCGTACTACGGGTTCGTAATAGATTTAATGAACTCAAGTCCAGTGATAGGTTGATCACAGTTCTGAAACTTTCCTCAGAAATACTCGTGCAGGTGTTCACATTAACATAGAGTACAATCAGCAGTGACACTTCAAACTAGTAAGAACGTTAACGAAAGCAACGCAATCCAAAGCGCAGCTAAACCGGCAATAGTACTCAGAACTCATGCTGAGCTAACAGATAACAACAACAATAACTGAGAGCAGGTGCTGTCTCCGCCCTTATATAGTTTCCACGCGGCCGCTGAGATATTTCTAGTACTTTCTGCTTCACGACATTACTGGTAGGCAATATGATGGTCGAATTACAGTTACAGCTAATACAATGATCAATTACATTTATTCAATTAGAAAACCTGCTACGGTGATTCAGGGACCGGACCAAAATATCGCCAAATTGATCCAAGTTTGGCGACTTTTAGCGATTTCTCGCCAAATTACCGAGAAACCCATTTACTGAATGTTAAATAGATTTGTCCCTATATTTTTACTCTTCCGGCATAACTTGTCTCTAGATATTTCATGTTACATTATACAAAAGAAATACAACAATTTCACATATATCTGCACTAAAATCATCTATCTGTATTCAAAACTCGTCAAAATATGTTACAGTCTGGAATTACTTAGCAAATTTTGGAATCATATCTTTCTGAAGAGAATAGGTAATCAACCACACTGGCATCTGCTCGGTACCCATAAATACCATATAACTTCCTTGTTCCAAAACTGCAATGTCATAAAACAGATATCGAGAACAGAAATTACAGTTCTAGAAAGATGAACACTGAGACGTTCGGCTGCCACGTCCGTACCAATAGTTATGCTATCGTCGGTTCAATGTCATTTGTTAACTCCAGGGGTACGATTCGTAGAAGACTAAGCCCCGTTTCGGCCCCGTTTTCGACAATTTGTTTATCTACTCGAACACTGTACTACTGCCGAGTTTCGTAGTTGTGGCTCAATTTTTTCTGGGTGCATATACTTTTTTGCAACAGAGTGCACATAGTGTTATAAAAAGTTGTTAAGTAGTTATCCAGTAGGAATATATATTCAACTATATTTGGTTGTGGAGCACTGTTTTAATGATTTTTCAAAATGTTAAATTTCTGCAAATTTTATCAGAAAGTTGGACACTGGCAATCAGAAGCTCCATATTTAATAATTTTCTATTAGACACTTAGCAACTAGTTTTAACTGTATTATTCTTTTAGAATGTACGGAATCAATTATGCGTTTTGCGAATCAATGTTGAGTTCAAGATTGGCAACCTTCTTTGTAAGGAAACTGCATGCTATCGAGAGCACTGTATCAAAGTACAAAAATTTTAACAGGTTGAAGAATAACGCACATTTTTTTATCCTCTTCTTTCAGAAAGGAAGCTATTCCTTTGCGATGGAATTTCACCCATTCTGCATGCATTAGTTTTTGCAGCTGCAAAGAAGAGAATAAGTGTTATTTCATTAGTGCCCCTTGTTACTACTTCCTTGTACGAAGTAAAGTATGGATTGTAATCACGAAAAATTCCGGGTACCATATTTCAACGAAAATATCCATTTTGATCGCTATCGAACGCAATTTAACGATGTTTTTGCGTGATACCTGTACGTAAGGACATAATAAAGGACGCTTTTTCCCCAAACGAATTATAAAACTGATTTAAAATGGATTCAGAAGAGTTCTTTCGTGACGTCTGCACGTACATAAGTATATATGTGTGTGCGTATGTATGTATATATCTCGCATAACTCAAAAATGAATAGCGTCAGAAAGCTGAAATTTAGTATGTGGGACTACTATAACATGTAGCTGTCTGACTGTACTCTTTTTGGTTGCAATCGGCCGCACTAAAAGTGTATGTGCATGCGTATATATATATATATACACTCTGTTACTCGGCTCCGTGAGCTCAGTTTTTTTTTCTTATATGTTCGTAAATTGCGCATTGTTTGCTTTAAAAATGATTGAATTATGTTGTTCTTATTTTCCAGTTAAGGTTTTTATGCCTTTAGTTAACCTGTATGTTATAGTTGTAGAATTATCAACAATCTAAAAGTTGTTTAAGTGCGGCTAAGCCTAATTTTTTTACCATAGCAGCCATATTTGTTTACATTTGAAACTTAGCAGAATACTGGATTTGTTTCCAATCTAGAGAAACTAAGCTTCGCAATAACAAGATAACGTCTTCTTTTATTATTGCGAATTAAATAATTCTTAATCCATTTAGGAATTATCATTTAAATTATTAAATTATCCCATATATTGACTCAGCATAGCGTCCACAACAAATCAAGTCAGTTTCTTCATCTTCAGTGTCTTTTTGCCGAGTGGCACCAAAAGGAAACTTTTAGTTTTGTGCACCGAAAAATCTGCCCTTTTGCCTGCTTGGCCAATTGTTTGCTTTTGCGCAGAAACTGCAATTTTAATTGTAAAAATTGTTTTTAAATTGTTTTAACTGTATTTGGTATTTTATGTTTTACTATATCCCTCAATTTTTAGTGAAGATAGTTTGAGATTTTCGTGTATTTTGGCCTAGCCGCGAAGTGAGTACTGAATTAATTGAATGAGACGGAATTCGAGGATACGGAAATGAAGACGGAATTCGAATGAGACGGAATTCGAGGATAGAAGTGTTTCGTATTAGCAGTATTGTCGCCAGTCTGACTCGAACAGATGAGAATGTTTACGAGTAGCGCATGCACATTAAGTAAGCGGCGCTGAATCGTATGTGAAAAACTGTTTATTTTTTTATTTGTGTAATTTCTTTTATACATTGTTTTAGATTTATTATAATATTTGAATAGAACATGTGGCAACGATTAGATAAGTCTTCAGATGATATAATTTTTGTGTAATCTGATTATAAAATAAATGAGATGTATTGCTGTTAAGTGACACTAGCGCCAGTTTAAACTATATTTGTGATTTTTAAAAGTATTTATTTACTTATGTATCTGCGCCCTTTATCTGTTCTAAAATGGGAACCACGATGAGTTTCGAAGTGTCCGCTCTGACCACTTCCGCTGTAGCCATACCACTAGAGTGTCACTATGGTAAATAAATATCGTGAATTTTAAAGCGTGCATTTATTCTATTGTGGTTTATGCGCTATCTACGAAGTAGAATTCAAGAAGTTTAAATGAAATGCAGGAAGAAATGCGTATAATTTAATATTCTTTACAAGGAAGTCATGTGGTGTACATATCAGTTTATTTTTTGTTTTATGTTTTTCTAGAGGTGATTTTTGGTGCTCTAAGATTTTCCGCTATGGTGCTTTCTTCGTTTAATTTCAATTAATTTCTTTTTAATTATTTCTGAGCTCCTTTAGAAGTCCCATATGATAGTATATTAAATCTATAAGGATAACTACCTCTTCTTAATTTATTTCGAATATGATTTTTTTTTAAATCAGCCTTTTATATGGTTTGGTGTTGACACAATAAATATGCTAACAAGAAAGAAATTTATCAGTCTGAATGTATTACTGTCAGTATATGTTTTAAGATAAGAAATGTCTCAGTGGAACTGTTTTAGGGATTTCTGCATTTCCTTCCAGTAACTCTAGTTTCTTGAAACTCTGTTAAATGTTTTTAATGTCATAGTATAAATTATTTGATTCTGTAAAGCTGAAATGAATGAATTTACTACTCCTCGCATTGAGTTTGAAATAAATCTGTATATGAATCATAAACTCTAACATTATGACTGAAACTTAGCAGATAGCCTTTCATTTTATCCATGAATTTCTTTCCTGTTCGGTATTTGGTGTCTGTAAGATGTACGATGTTCCTCGAAGATAGAACAACGTGAAATTTAACTTTTTTTTTTCAAAGAAAGAAATTAAGTGACGAATTGAATTTAGACAGTTCATAAGTTAAGTTCATTGGACGGTTTATGGAAAAAGAAGAGCGGTAGAGCTTGTGTTTGTCAAGAGACATGGAGCACCAAAACGCAGAAGGCTGACTTCGCCTATTAGTTTTAGCTGGCCTAAGAGAATTGCCTTCACGCCTAGGGTGGCCCCTGACAAACTCTCGACATACCATTGTCACCCCTCGCCACGTTCAGGCAACTACCAGTAGGACTTGGAGAGACTTGTATTGACAGCTCTTGGACTCTTGGATCTGGTCTAATCTAATGGCTGAACAGTTAGGATCAGTAACAACAAGGACATAAGTTAAGTAGTACTTGAGCAATAAGAAAGTAACTAATTTAAGAAATATTTATAGGGAAACTAAGTATATATCAATGAAATATTTTGATAAATGAAAATATCCTTTCCAAAATCGATAATCTTTATAAAATGAATTTTCCTAATTGTAAATACGCTAAACTTTCAAACTGGAAAATTTGATTTTTGAAAACCATCGATGTATTTCAAGCTGATTAATTGTAATCAAATTATTATATATAGTTGTAACAATAGAATTAACATATTGTGTTTCACTGAAAATTAAATTTAATATTCAAACAATGACAGTATACGGATACAGAGAATTAGTATTAATTACAAACATGATAATAATGAAAAATATAATATAGACATCAAATTTTCAGTTTCTAAGCAAGTGACAAAATGTAATTTTGTTTTATCAGGTTGAATTTTCAATTCTTAAATACGTAACAGTTCTCTTACCTTTGTATTCAAATGCTCTTCGATGCAGAATATTTCAATATCCTTTCCAGCGCGTTTTACTTCTCGCATGGTGACCAGAGAAAATCGTCTCTAAGAACTCTCAATAAATGCAGAAAAGTGATATATAATGTGAAAATACTTAATCTGCACTTCAAGGTTGAGAAGAAATAAAAGTTGCATATTGGAGAGAACTTATGATTAGATAATGTACACTAGAGAAGATTAGTAATAAAAATATAAATAAAATTCGGATTGGAGATAAGCAAAAATAGATGATTTACCATGAATCCATCAGTCATAGGATTTAATTCTGAATTAAAACTACTGACAAATGTTTTTGATGTTGATTTGCTTTCTTCCAATCGCAGTCATAGCAGCTAAGTTATATCCGTTCAGTTAATGTCCTAGTTGCAGTTCGACCAATACACGCGATTCTGAGATATTGTGTGTTTGTATTGTGTGTTAAACTCGCAGCAATAAAACTAAGCCCCCCCTAAATTAAACTACTGGCTATTTAGCTTATTTTAAATTGCCTGTTAATTGAGACACTACGGTTAAAACGAATATTTATCACCCAACAACTATGCACACAACTAACTAAAGTTCATATGTACCTTAGATTATGAATTATAAATCAAAATTTATTAATAATTATAGAACTTAAAATAATTACTCTCTCGTACAGATCACAGCTTAAAAGTTCTTAAAGCGATTTTCAAACTTTTCTGTTTTATTCTCTCCTTTTCATCCCATGTGCCAGAATATCACTCCCCCACCCGCGCTTTCGTGATGTCTTTATTCAAATGGTGGTGTGGTGTATTTAATTATGGCAAAGCACACTAGGGCTATCTGCCTAAGAGGAGGGATGCCTTTCGTGGAGGACTTTCTAAGGGAAACTGGCTCGTATACACGTTACACATGGGGAAAACCACGAAAACACCCATGCAGCCAGCCCGTTCGCGGGATTCGAACCTCGGACCGAACTACCAGTGTTCAGCGACTTTACCGCTCGGCCGCTCTTTATTCAAATGATATGCATTGCAATAAACTCAAAAACTTTAAATATTTTATTTTACTATTAGTGAAGATGAGTAGGAATAAAAGACTTGCTATATTTAATACATATTTATTTATATATTTATTAATGCAGTCAAATCTAATTATAACGCGTGAATTATATAAATATCATATTTATCTTATTTTTTAAAGTCTGACTGGTTATAGACAATCGTAATTTATTGCATAAACTGTTAGATTAGTGACATCAATTTTTTTTTTTTTTTTTTTCTTTGTCCAGTTCGGAAGTCCAAGACATCTCTACTAAAAATTTCAATATTTTCCTAGGAATCTCTTCGCTAGTTAAAAGGTTAAGAATAATTTCAAATCATTTTTAATTCAAGTTTCAGTCCCCGTTATACATGAACAAGAATATAATGTAATTGTATATAATAAATAAATGTAAACATTAAAAAAAAAAAATGCAACAAACTTCCAATTAACAGGGTCCGTCAGCGACTAAGCGCCAAAGTTGCTGAACCGACGTGGACGTAGGTAAGGTCAACCTGGGTTCAATTCCAGGCGTACAGACCAGGCTACATGGGCGTGCTTTTCCTATGTGTAACTTGATACGAGCTACTTTCCCTTAGCAAGTCCCCCACGAAGCATTCCTCACCTTGAAAAATAGCCCTCGTATGCTTTGCCATAATAAGATAAACCGAACCAAATAAAACCAATTAACCGAGCCTGGATTAAACAAAATGTTAAGCTGGTTTATATTAAGCTGATTATAAAAACGGAAAAATTACCGTCACAAATTATCATTACAAAACAAAACTGTCAGAAAAAGAGAGAGAGAGAGAAATTAAAAAGGAAAAGTAAAATGTGTGGTGTAATAGATTATATCATTGATAGTAGATAATATTTTATTTATTTATTTATTATTATTATTATTTTTGCTTATTACGTGCTTCACCCTTAGGCACTACACTGAAAGAGAGGAATGCCCCGTGGAGGTCTTTTTAAGGGAAACTGGCTCGTATCCACTTACACATGGGGAAAAACACAAAAAAGCCCATAAAACCAGCTCGTTCGCAGGGACTCGAACCTCGGACTGAACTACCGCAGTGTTCAGCGGCTTTTACCGCCCGGCCGCTGGTGTTTTATTATTTTGCCAGTTGTTTCTATCCACAGCACAATATAATTGAATTGCATATAATATCGCATATATATAAATGTTGCACAAAGGAAAACAAAAACTTTTAACTAATTATCGTGTGTGTGTGTGCGTTTGACCTTTATCACATGATTCAAATTCTGTTATTCATACTGGTCTTTAATACGATTTATAACTCAGAATTTCCATTTCTAGTGATACTTTATTCTTTCTTTAAATACAACTTTTCACACATTTTAAAATTCGTAACGAAACGAACTTGGCCTGTATTTTGAAGCAGTTTGATCAGCTAGAAAATACTATAAATTGTTATTAGTATATTTCTGTTAATTAGAACGTAAATTATTCCGCTTTTTTTTTTTTCACTTTCTTTGGATTAATCGTGGACATTGTTTACATTGTTGCAGTAAATTGGGAAACAGTGGTAAAGATTAATACATTTTAAATGGAAAGGCACCATTTATTTAGAGTTTGCTTGCACTAATAACACATAATACTAAGCATGCATATTTTTTAAAATCTATGTTAAATTGTCTACTGAAAACTAGTTTGCATCTCTAAGTCATTTTATCACTGGTAGAGCAGACGATTTCTAAAGCCTCGTTTAACATCATTCAGTCGAAACCTGTTCAAAGCGTGACTGCTTTCACTTCTAAAACTGAAATTGTCCCCCCCCTTTTTTTTTCCTTCTCTCTCTGTCATTGATGTAAACTGGAACATCCGCTCTTACAGGTACATTAAAAAAATGTTTGTATAAATTTTTGCTTTTGTTACCTGATCATGCCATTACTTGCACTGATGTAAGATGTTCGAATTTCGAATAATACACATCGGAATGCTCCGTTTTAATTTGAGAAGAGGAATTACTATTCAGTTGCCATACTATGTATTTAAATTATATGTTGAATATTTAAAGACGCAAATTTTACTTATAAACGCTATTTTTTCTTTCCGATACTGATACATAACTTTATAACCTCATTGTTTTAAGTTTTTCCGGTCTTACATGTCCCTTCACTTAAAAGAGTCCCATTGTTAATTCCTTAGAAATAATTTTACTATAACGTTTCATTGCGTATAAATTGTTATAACTAGTAAATAAGGAAACGTTTCTATTAATTTTATTACGATTTCATCATACGTACGTTTCACTTCATTTCCCCATAAACAAAATGAGTCATCACTTTTTAAATCTATGGGACCATTGAGTCATAACTGCTTGAACTAAATTTTTGGATTACGCATATCACAAAACGGACATCTGCCTACAACTGTCTGGGTTCTGAAACTGAAAACTGTCAGAGAATTTCAGTATGCAGTTTCGAGTATTTTCTGATTATTCTCACTCCACTTTCAACTTGAACAAGTATGATTCTTATTATTTTTTAGAATGCTTATCATTGTAGATGGAAACAAACTGACTGTTCTATAAGTGAAAAAGAATTTCCCCCTGTTCTTTAAGTCTTTAATAAATAATATATAAGGTAATCAGTTTGTAGAGACATTAGGTATTTTTTGGAAGCAGGAAACATGAAAAATAGCAAACGCCTTCGCCGGGAATCGAACCACTGGAATACCGGCTCAGTGGCCAGAACCACTACACTACGAAGGCACGCTAGGAAGGCCAGAGAAATACCTTATAAGTTTCCAACTAAAGAAAGGGATATATTGCTAATATTTTCCACATGCACGTACTTGAATTTTCATAATACAGGCTAAACAAATTCATTTATTTAATTCTGGGAAATTTAAATTTTATGCTTCAAATAAATTCTCTTTACATGAATAGATCCTGAAACAAATCTTAATATCAACAAAAACTTGAAAAAGAAATGCTGTTTTTAATCTCAATGTTTCTTAAACTGCGTTCTGGGTTCAACAGAGATCACGAAACTTATAAGCTTCCTCCCTCCTCAAACATTCAAGAAAGTATAGTCGCTGCAAATGCGTCTCGAGTAAATTTTATTAGTTTTAGTTTATGCATTATCTTTGATTTAAACTATTGGTTTCTGTACGTAAGAATTGATGCCATCTGTTAAAGGGTCCTTTACACACTTTCCTTATCTCTGTGGTACTTATCAGACATGGTGATAACTCACCAGTTGTAGAGTTCCGGTCTAATTGTACGCTAACTAAAGAAGGCCAGGTCTTATATGCTACACAACTAATTTTCACCATATCATAAAACAAACTATCATACACCATATCATAAAGCAAATTTTCTATGCAAAGTTGTAACTGAATTATACTCTATCACTGGTGTGTATACCTACCTATCTTAGCTGAAATTGGCCATTAGCCTACCTAAATGCCATACGAGTTATCGCCTACACTGGAAATGAAACTTTTAAACAGTTTGTAGGGTTTATATTTATTTTAACTAACATTTATTTTAAGTTTAAGCTATCTTTCCTGTCAAGCCTTTACCGGAATTGCCAATGCCAGAGTATGTAAATTTTAGTAGAACGCGCAGAGTATTCAAATTTTTAGCAGAAGTAATTTTGACTTAAATAGAAGGGAAACGAGTTTGTAAGTGTGCTTTCTTGATTCACGAGCGTGAAGGTGGCTTGGTAGAAGTTTAAGAACCGCGCGTTTCGGCCTGTGTGCCTACTTCGGCAGTTAGTTGAATCTTTCAACTTCTTATTCTGAAAGTTTGCTGAAATCTCAGCTGTATCTTAGAACGCGGTTAAGTTAGTCACGTTTATAGATCCTCGTAGGTAGTGACTTGTTATTTATTCATCCTGTTATTTATTTTTAGTTGTACTTTTCTATTTTTATTTAACCGCCGGGTCGGCATAGTTTGTGAGCGTCAAGTGAACGCATCTGTAACTTCTAAAGTGGAATAAAAAGGGAGTTAAACCCTTCTTAAGAGTTTGTGTAATTTCCAGTTCATAGCAGTCACTACTCCTGTTGCGGGCAAGTTGGGGCCACGCAACACCACAAGTTTAATTTAACAATGAAATAAAATTTATTATCTCAAAATTTGTAATTCAAGCTAAAGATAATGCGCAAAGAAAGAAAGAAAAAAAAAGGACTGCGCGATTAAAGACACAGAGTTTTGCAACAGAATGGTTCTCTACAGTCTACAACAGAATGGTTCTCTCAACAGAATGGTCAACAGAATGGTTCTCTAAAGTCAATGCTCGACACAAAAAGAGAATACTAGCAACTTAATCGGTAATTCTACTATCCTTAAACAGGATCTCAGATTCACTAACAATAGTGCCTTACAAACAACGTCACTTTCAAAACTAATTCTAAGCCATGAGTCACAATACTCGCTTACTGTTCCCAAAAGGTTCGAATAGAAGGAGGGAGGGTTCAACTAAAAAAGTGAATCCTCGGCGGCCATATTTGTCCAACCACTGTGACTCGTGCAGGAAGACTTGTCATTGCAATGTATTGTTGCGTGCGTGCGGGTTCGTAATAAATTGAATGCACAAGTCCGATGAAATGTGAATAAAATTTATTCTTATCACAACAATAAAACAAAATGCTGCAATTTCATCAGAGATATTCTTACAATATAACAATATCTCACAATCGTTATGTTTTAAACTCGAGTATCGTAATTTACTCCTGGCCTATAACTAATGGAAGCTTTTACCAATATATTGAAATTCGGAACAGTTACATTTGCTATGTTTTAAAAATAAGGTGCTTTATCTAAAGTACCAACGCACAGAGGCAAGAATACAAATAAGCATAATTTTCAGTTAAGGACTGGCAGCATTTAACTTCATTTACTCGCAAGTTAAATTTTCAACTGTTTCTGGTTTGAGCAAAGCATTATGAAGGAAGCCAAAAAGAAACAGAGCAGTATGAATTTAAAGATTAAAAATTGTAATAACAATTAAATAATGTATGTTTGAAAACATATAGTTGTAATTTTGAGCGAAGTCTAGAAAAATACTCTGTATTATTCTCAATGAATTCAGCACAGCCCTCCTAGTGAAAGATATCACTCTTTTTGTAATATTGAAAAGTTCATTGGAATGAACGATAACATATATTATTGTCAAATTTTCGTTTAAATCACCATATACTAATTAGATAAATATTTAAAATAATACTTAAATTTAATGAAATTTTAAGAGAATATTTAACACATGAAATATTTTTAAGTTCTTTCCACGATTCAGATTTTTTTTAAAAATTTTATTATGATAATCGCGCAAATCAAACCAAAGAACTTGCATTTACTAAAGAAAGTCTTCATATGTATTCTGGAAATACCTTCTAAAATGAAACATATAAACAATAGAAAAACATTTATTAACAATTTATAAAAAACAGCATTAAAATATTTTCCATATAAAAAACTTTCTACTTTAGATTATCGTGGCACCACTTTCTGTTCTCGAATCATCTTCAATTTCATTTCTACTTCTTGTTTCCTGGCTAGTTTGAAAGCTACATCACAAAACTCGAAATACATTCCAAATGAATCAGCATTTCGAACTTTCATATCGTGATACACGACATGATCAGTGTACTTTGGTTTGCAGCACATATAGAACAATAAGAAAAGAGATCCTATGGCATAAGTTCCTCCCATTACAGCGACCAGAATGTAGTCGTGTTTTGCCCAAGCACTGTTCTCTTTAAAAACGTGCCACAAAATGGCAAACAGGACATTCTCCAACAACAAGATGAACAGAAATATCAATGGCCGCTTTCGTTTCTTCAGTTCGAACATGATGGGCCAGTAAGTGAGAGATGGAAGCCCGAACACTGATAGCACGAGGAAAAACAAAGCAAGTTTTCTCTTCCGGTTGAAAGGTGTAGAAGACTTTTCCTGCGTATAAGTCCTCAATGCAATGGTAGACACCCATAAAGATACCAGCACACCATGAAGGAGGCAAACTAGAATCATCCAACCATGAATGACAGTTGTAGCAAGAGCAATTGCGATGGAACGGGATGTCATGATGCACATCCATCCAGTCATTGATAATGTGCCTGTGAGGATGCCATCATCTCTTCGGCGAACGGCAGCCATCATGGACATAAGAGTCAGCCCGGACGCAATGATTTCACCCGTTACTGAAAGAAACATTTATACACTACATTAATAAATAACTATCAAATAAATACATATATGAAATATGTTAAATGAAAGTTACATATATATTTAAAACTGACTATACTACACTAATCGATAACTATCAAATAATAACTACACATATAAAATATGTTAATTGACAGCTGCATATACTAATTTAAAACTGATCTTGCGGTTGTTCTTGAAAATACACTGCTGGCTATTAAAATTGCTACACTGGGAGGAAAGCAAATAGCAGAACCTTATTTATTGTACCTATATATAGTGTAACGGGATGAAGATATGATTAAATTTGCAAGTGGTCTAGCATGCAGAGCCGCTACCTTTGGCAACAACAGCGGCTTTAATCCGAGTGACCAATAAGTCCAACTGAGCTTAGTTGACAGATACATGTACTTCAAGTGGCTTTATCTCTGCGCCACAGTTCATCAATCGTAGTGTCTGGTGCGTGGTGGCGTGTCAGACACTCGGCAACACATAATCATATCTGGGTGAGAGATCTGGAGATCTCGGTAGGCGAGAGATCTGGAGAAAGTATTGGCCAGGGCACCAGATGCTGGTATAACTAGGCAGGAAAGCAGAATTTCACCACATTGCACAAGTATAACCCGACCGTACTAATTATGAAGCTCCGCCTAGTTTTGAAAGAAGATCTTAGGCGAGGGTCGTACGAGGTCTCCTATCGCTCTTCCTTTACCACTAACCTTTCGATAGGGCTTTCGACTTGCCACGTATTTTAAGTGCCCCCTTGCCACACAGACATTATACGCTTACAAACATAAATGTCTTCTCCAGGATTCGAACCGGTCCCCACTGGTACTGTAGTCAGCATCACTAACCACTATACTGGCTGGGCCAGGGCAATAGTCGAATACCTTCTATATTAAGGCAGGGCAGAAAGGGTCAGTTCTGTAAGGTCAGGATAGAACAAGCAACATGCAGTCTTGCATCACCTTGCTGACAGATGGTATCACATAATCCTCAAAGATAAGTAACCGCCATGAGCCTTAACACGTCAGAAGTGTTACGGCGGCTGCCCACATTACCGACTATGGCAACAAGAAGCGACCAGGATGTGTGCCCATTGGCATCCCATATCAGCATACTATGTCCTGTATGACAGTGACGAATGCAAGCTGGCAGCATTGTTTCTTCTCGGTATCTCCAGACACGGATGTCCAGCATGATGCTATACGCAATGCCTTCTTAGCAATATGGGCCCTTGGGCAAACCAGTGTGCTCGGCCCCCTACGATAATCACCCACAGAAATTAAATGTAAATGAATTCGTCTGGGGTCCATATGCTCGCGGGGTTCCAAGGTAAGTGCCCCAGCAGCCTCATACGTTAAATGCGTTACGCATGAACCTAGCGGGCTGTGCAATTAAATCAGAACTGCATGTGCTTCTATATGTGTTTACCTGCAGTACTCTTAACATCCTTGATTTATACTGGATATCATTGCAAATTAGTATCGGGACTGTGGTGCATTTTCTCTAGACTTAATGGATGGCACAACTCGTCCGTAAAGGGCTAATTACATAAGGAAACCTGGAATCCAGTGATACAGCGCACCTGGAAAGTTTCAGCTGACTCAAAAAACTTAAGCCCTATCGAACTTGTATTAGGATATCCTTGGCCATACGGCTGCAACACAAACTACTCCATGAACTACTACACAACTTTCAGCCGTGCTAGTTCCAAGAATGGAGACCTTTACTCTTCAATGACTCAACAAACTCATCAAGAGTATACAGAACAGCTGTATAGCATGTATAAACCATCCAATATAATATAAGTATATAATCGATATATTCACTATACGTATAGCCATTCAATAGAATCACACATCATATTTAATACCTCTCCGACTAACCACTGAGTTCGTGATACTAGTAGCGTTATGGTAGACATATCGTGCCCATTTATTTTATTTATTAATTCTTTTAAGGGGCAAGCGATTATTCCTTTCATTTCATTTTATCTTTTGTTATCATCCTCTTGGACTACGCTTCAGCTTAATAAGGCAGATCATGCTAAGCAGCAGTTCCCTTACCTTATGGATATCAGTATTATCTCAAAATGATCCGGTTAAAAAATTTACAATAAGAAAATGATACACTATCATTTCATCTAGGGAAAGCAACTTAAGAAAAAATATGTTTTGATAAATATTTAGCTTACGTGCTTTATATTCTACTTTTTCATCTAGCGAAGTTATGATAATATACAGCTGCAACAGTATCTGAGTGAGCCCTGCATAAAATTCCTCAAAGAATTCCAGCACTGCCGCTTGCCTTTCCAAGTGCGATTTTTCTTCCAGTTCCTGCTCTGTCAAAGGCCGGATCTGACAAATTCTCTGTGCAGAGAACTGTAAGACTTCGACACGCCTAGAATTAAAACAAATTCCATTCTAAATGTATAAATATGTAAACTCGGAAAACGTTCGCCAAAATGATCTTCACGTTAATACTAACACCAACATTTCCAGAAACAATTACTGGCCCTAGGATTTAGTCAATCTCATGGTATTTAAATATTATTTTGGAAGAAGGCATCTACTATCTGGGAAACTGAGCCAAGGAATAGGCTTGCAATCGAACGTCAATAATTTATTCAGAGTTTTAATTTGTTCAATTACACGAAAGTTAGAAAGTAATGCTCTGACGGGTACAAAAAGCATTTTCAATTTTTTTTAACATTTTCAATTTAATCCTAAATTTAGTTTTTCAAGTAGTACGAAATTACTAATTACGTGGTTTCAATTTGGCGATTATTTTTTACAAAGGGAAAAAAAATGTTAACTAAGTGATCATTTAATTCATTTTCAGAAATTTACTTATTACTTACAGAATTATTATTACATATATATTTTACATTCTAATTAACCATTTAAACCAAAAACCAATCAATAATTCTACTTACAAACTGGTTTTTCTTTCTGCTGGAAATTTCGTAGCGATCGCAATAAAAAACAAATTCAATTGTTCTCTTTAGTGGCAAAATATTGTATTCCTGCAGAAATTTTGCAGCAGTTTCTTTTACTGCTGGCAAATCCTATTAATGTTGACTTAAAAATTGAGTTTATGGCAAAAAAATCATTCTTTATTTACAAATTGTTGGAATAGAAGAATAATTGTTAAGAGTATTTGGTTACCTGAAGAATTATTATATGCGCCTGATTGCCAGCATTTAGAACATTTTGAAAATTTGACGACTTCGAACGTGTTGAAAATTTGATGGCTACTACACGTACCATAAAATTTTCATACCATGCGCTTCCTTTTCAAACTTCATTAAAGTAACATTTTCAGCAATGTTTCGCAGGTAACTGATGCCATATGGCAATTAGCAATATTCGTAATATCATGCTTTGAGTTTCAATCGTATGGAAACGATGCAGAAATAATATTGAAAGATTTATTCAGTGTACTCAGACGCTATCATTGCATGTAATGCGAAAGATTATTTTAAAGAGATCACAAGGAGAATTTTTAATTTTGATGACACGCTTAGGCGGCCAAAGAAGGCGGCTGATGAAGAATTGAAGATGCTTGTGCAGTTAAAACATAAATATCACCAGTTAAAAGATAAGGTTTTTATTTAGCACAGTATACAGCAAGTGATCACATAAAATTAATAGGAGACCATCATCGTGCTGGTATTCGAATTCCAGATACTCATAACCGAAAAGCGTCAGCAGTGAGTGTCGATTTGCATTTCTCTGGACATACTGAAATTGGAGATTAGAAAAGGATTCTCTCCGCTAATGTAACTTAAAAAAAAAAAAAAAAAAGAAGAAAAAAAAAAAAGAGGTAAACCCCAAAAGAGAAGTCTCTCAGAAAGGGCAGGACTAAATCCAAAGAAGGTTCCGCATATGTTGGGATGTGGCAGATGTGATTTATTCTGAACTGTCATAAAATAATTAAAATATTAATCGTTAGATAATTTGAAACAATCTTTATCAATCAAACGATTTACATATATCAACAAACGAAGCAATATTTCTCAGTCTGATAATGCCACATGCAACACGATTGACTGGACAAGAACTTAATAATTGTGGATACAAAATTCTTTCTCATACACCTAGTATTCAGATAATTACCCACCTCATAATTACCTGTTCAGAGTTTTGCAAAATTTTTTATGGCAATAATTTCAACAGTTAACAACAGGATATCGAAAAAAACATTTTTTCCCTCTCCAATGAATATTTTGCTAATTGAGCATTCGTCATAAATGGTCGAACTCATCGTTAGAGAATGTCTACTAGAGGGCGATCGAATTGCACCCGTAAGTAGGAGAGGCTGCGTCCCAATTTTGATGGAGAACACTCCGGGCGGCATGGATCCAAGGTTCCCTCATGTCCTCCTTTCCTACCACCAACCTCTAGAGAAGACTTTTGGCTCGACAATATTTTAAATGCCCTCCTACTACAAAGACATTATATATTTGCAAACATTTATACCTTGTGCAAGACTCGAACTGCGCCCCAAAGCTATATCAGTCGTCTTCTCTACCACTATACAAACAAGGCAGAATATCGCACATGTAATAAGTTAATGTTTTCTAAGAAAACTAAAAGAATTATTCAAGAAAGATATGGGAAAGTTGCCTGAATTATGGGCAGAAGTCGTACTGGAATGTGATAAGGACTACATCAATAATTCAATTTATATAACAAATATACGCAGAATATAAACGAGGATTCCAAATATATGTTGGCCATTATATATTTTTCAGAACTATAGTTTTGTATTTTTTCGGTTCTGAAACATGGCAATTGTTTTAATTCTGTCCATTCTCTTGAAAAAGAATACAGTTAAGACAATTATACTCTGGTTCAAGTTTTTACCTCTTTAGCTTATAATTTAATTTTTCTTTTAAGTTTTAATTAAATTATATTGTTTATATATATATTTTTTTTACTATTTCCAATGATATTTTTAATTCATTTCTTTCGCATTTTTGGAACATAAATAGTTTAAATTATTATTTTAATATATATATTATATATATATATATATATATATATATATAATGTGTGTGGTTTCTCTTCTTCTCATCCTGTAATATTTTCTGATTAATCGGATATATTAAAACACGCGTAGAAGACGATAAAAGAAGTAAAATAAAGTTAACATTCCAAACGCTATTTGATAATAATCTATCACAGAAAAAAATTGTCTTATTTTCTAAAACTAACTGACAGTCGTCTAAATATAAAGTCCTTGATGCGAACTATTGAATATACAACAGATTACTTTATTTTGCAGTTTAAGAAAGTAATGAATCAATCAAAATCCAGCGATTCAGTATGCGAGAAAGAAATCATGAACTAACCTCAGAAATTTAAGAAGGGAAATAATTTTTTAAAAATTAAAAAGAATATAATAAGTTCTTACATGGTTTTAATTTCGGTCAAAAATAATATTTTACCCTACTGCATGCAGTTAGAATTTTTTTTAATCACAATTTTCCTGAATATTTTACATGATTTCGCAAATAAGCATATTGAATGCTTTGTGAACATACATAATGTTGATTTCCTAATTTTTATACTGAAAACACAGGAGGATCGAATGAAAAATCATTCAATTCTATCATTAACTAGCACAGGTTTCATGCCGAAACATGGTCTGAAAACAAAATTCGACTTACCCTTTGATCTGCCATGGTACCAAAAGTAAGCCGTGTACCACTTTGGTTCCTACCTCTTTGGGTTCCGCCTCTCCCTGGTCTTTGACGTAAGCAGCTAAAATGTAGATGATGTAGATGACAGCTGGTAAGAAAAGACAAAAAGCTGATACGATACAGTAATTGATATCCCTATCTGTGAAGTACTTGCCGACGGCTGCACTATCCTGATACAACTTGTTCAAGTAAATGGCCAACTGTACAACCGATGTAGCCAGCAGGAAAGGGAATGAATACTTGCCGAAGAAAGGAAAGACGCCGGCGTTGCGAGTAGGAGGACCTTTCTCAGCGTCTCTGCTAGCCTTTGCACCGTTCGCTCCGTCTGTCCCATCAGATCTAGAAATCTAAATATCAAAAATGGAAGAGAACACGTTTTTAAGTTCAGTGATATTAAACTTATTTTGCATTCACCTTTAAATACTGTTTACCACAAAAAGGAAGTTTATGTAATTAAGCAGGATGACGACAGTTCATGATCTATTCGATCTACACCAATATAATGTAAGTAACTAACTCATTTCAATAGAACTGAAATTCGCTTGAGTATTTTCGATCGGTTTACACATTTCAAGACGAAAATTTGTCGTTATTCTGATACATGCTGAAATGCTAATACTAAATTAGTGAATAAAGGTAATACGCACTCTTATTCACTCATGGCGTAATATCATATCAAGCATATGAGATCTTAAGAAAGCAAAATTTTGAAAAATATTTTCTGTGAAAAATGACAAAAATCAAGTAATAGACCAAACAAAGACCGAAACAAGAAAACAACACGCTTTTTCAGAAGGAAAATCAACGATGAAAACCAACATTTAAATGCATATGAAGTGAAGAAGAAATAGAGAAAAATGTGAAATGGAAATGAAGACAAAGAATTATCTTTGAGAACATGAGAGGCAAATAGCTTAAGTTTTCTTCTAGAATATGAAATCCAGCAGTTTCACACTTCGTTGTTTCAAAGTAAAATATTATTTTGTTATCTAATAGAAACTGATGAATGTACTAGATCCGAAGATCCCTGTATACACTGGTGTGCAAAAATTAAGGACGAGACGGTTTTTTCAATATAACTTTGTACAAAAGCTTTCCAAATCAACACATTTAATACCGTAAGATCCCAAATAGGTAAGGACATAAATAATGTAAGCAACACTTACTAAAAGAGAAATCAGAGGGATAAAAAGAAGCTTTATTGAAAAAGTAGCATGGAGCGCAATGCGACTGAAGGCCGAAACATCCCTGTGATGGGTGTCCAGCAAGAAACATCCGGTCTTTAATAGGGGACATGATCTCCCCTGACTGCTAGGCAGGTTTCACAGCGTCTGCCCATGCTGAGAATGAGGGTGTCAATGAGTTGTTGAGGTATTGCTGCCCATTCGTCTTGCAGCGCCAATCGAAGCTCCGGAATCGTTACTGGTGGTAAGGTACGAGCTGCCAAGCGTCTGCCTAGAAAATCCCATACATACTCGATGGGATTGAAATCCGGAGATTGTGCCGGCCAATCCATACGTTCAATATCCTCACTCTCTAAGAGCTGTTCGGCAGCTACTGTGCGATGACATGGTGCATTGTCGTCCATGAAAAGGAACTGCGACCCATAGCGCCTCTGAAAAGACGCACATAGGGAAGAAGAATCTCGTTACAATAACGGGTTCCGTTGACTGAACCTGCGTCGAAGATGTGAAGGTCTGTACGACTACCAAGCATGATGCCTCCCCAAACGAGAACACCGCCACCTCCATACCTGTCCCTTTCAATGATGTTCGAGGGATGATTGCGGCTTCCCCGTTCCCTCCAGATTAGTATGCGATGAGAATCGCTACTCAGACTGAATCTGCTCTCATCTGTAAAGAGTACTCGTCCCCATTCATTGTCTCTCCAATTCCGGTGTTCCCGGCTTCACAGAGAACGCCTTCTCCGATGGGCAGGCGTTAGAGGTACACACCGTACAGGGCGTCGTGCAAACAGACCACCACCGTGCAGTCTTCTGGCCACGGTAAAACGCGATATCGGTCGTCCAGTCGCCTGTGTCGTGTGTCTAGCGATTTCTCCCGCTGTCTGCCGCCTGTTTCTTCTGGCCTGTAAGGCAATATACCGGTCATCTGCGGGTGTGGTTCCTCGTGGACGACCACTACTAAACCCCCGGATAGTAGTCCTGTAGTTTGAAATTGTCTCCAAAGTCGTGAAACGATGCTGTGAGCAATTCCGAACTCTGCAGCCACACTTGTCACACTGCGTGCGGCCTTCCTCCAACTTCCCAATGATTCGACCTCGGGTAAAAGCATCCATATGTCGTCTAACAGATTAATTATTCGCCATTTCTCGCTGAGGCAGCAACTCGGTGTGATTTTAACTGCTATACGGCGTGCAATCTCTTTGCCAGAAATATTGATCTTACACCGACAACATGCTTTATACTACTCAGACACTCCCCCATTACGTCTATCAGGTTCAATGTTCCGTCTTACTTTCCACGGGAACATGCAAGGACCTGACTCGGAACAGAGAGCTTACTAAAGCTATGTTCAATAACTGTGGGAAGTAGACAGGATACACAAGAAGGGTATACAAAACCCTTTATTTTTCTCTATTTACAATAACTTCCGTACTTCGGAATACAAAGACCCACTACTTGTGGTCTAAACGTAAAAATATAAAAATAAAACTAAACTCTTAACTTTGAAATAATAAACGCGGAAGATTGGCCTTATATTAACAGGAAGCCGTATGTAGTACAGAGAACTGTGAACACTACAATACGTTTAAAGTTTATCAAGAGGATTAAAAACCTCTGGCCTGGAAGGCAACCAGCAACTGAGTAAAACTTCTAAGGTAAGCGGCCTGCTTCGACTAACTGCTTCCTCTCCTCTCGCGCTTGGCAAAAAGCCACAACTTAAATACTTGGCGTTCGCCAGACAAACTTTGCATAAATACGTTTAACGCTTATAATTCTGGCCGGAAGTAGAAAATAAGAAGTGATAGTAAAGATTTAAAATAAAATAAACGTTAGTAAAACTTAAGATCCTTACATACTTCCCGCCAGAGTTAATTAGTTTGAAACTGAGGTCTAAAACGACCTTGTTGAAAACTTTTAGCTCTAGAATATAACGCGAGGCCAACCTTTTACAATCATAACTTCGTTAGAAACTAGAAAATTTAAAAGAAAGAAATTTGTTACAATAGCAGCTCCCAGGATCTACAACAATCTTTTTTTTTCATCTGTACTGCATCTAAACAGGAGCTTTATTCAATTCTGGTTCCTTCCAGAGATCTGGAAGGAAAACTAGTTTAATGAAATGTTACACAATGAAATGGCAAGTAACATGTATAATTATATTTCTCTTAACATTCTTATTTCATTCATGACTATTTTAATTATCTCTCCCCGTGCTCTCTGACATGTGTTGTAAAAGAACCCCAAACACGAATGTGTTTATGTCTACGTGTTCAACACTTCCTCCTAAAATCAAAGCACTAACGTGTTAAAAATTCAACATACCAAGACCTCGTAACACACCCTAATTTCAACTCTAAACCCTGAGGTACTATTCTGAAAGTGGCTAACTCTGAAGTGTAGCGTCAGAGAGCCTAAATACATTCATTCAACCTTTAACACATATTCACCATGATTTGGTCTTTTTACAGTCACACGAATAACAAATTTTTAACATTACTTTCACTTTTACCATATCACGGTATTTCTTAACATTTGAAATAACAGTTCACATTGTATATAAGAACATATTAACATGCCGTTAATTTTACGCATTTGAAAACATACATTAGTAGTACATTGTTAACTTCTATTCTTTTCAAAGCAAGTGCCAATTCTTTCTACATTGAAATACTACATTTCAAAAAGTCTTTCAGACTAAAACTTCTTTCTTGCCAGAAAGTTTTTTAAATAAAATTTATACAATAACTTTTACAAATATTTAAGTCTTTACACAATCGCTATTATACATCAACTTTAGTTTTACACGCGAGTAATTGAAAAACATAATACCAAAAAAATCGGTAGCAACTCATTTCTCGCCCTTTTTTGGCGATAAAGGTAGACCTCGCATGAGGTAAAACTTCTTGAAATCTGCCACTTGCAGTAAGAATGAAAGATTAACTTAACTTAAGTTTGCAAAGTAACATAAAATTTTACTTATCTTTGTGATATTCGGACATTCTTTTCTGAGCCCAGTCCTGGAAAGGTAGCGTAGATTCTTGTTTGATTTATCCTCCTTCGTGTGCGGGCTCGCCCTTCAGTGCCTTCCTCTAGAAGCTTTCTTTTTTTTCCAGTTCGGTCACCCTTGAATACCTTCTTTTTCGCCTTTTTTCGCCTCTGCCTGTGGTCTTGGCCGTTTGATGGCAGCTGGTCTTGGCGGAACCGGGAAACTTCTTTCGTGTTCCTGCTTGGACCTCGTTGCTGGCCGTTCAAATTTTCCTTGTAACTTTTCCTCCTCCGCCGCCGCTGGTGGCCCTTCCGCAGTTCGGCGACATTTGCTGCGGAGAGTCCTGTCGGATGAGTAGATCTTCCGTTTTAGAGCCGGGTTATAGTTGCCGTCATTTCTCCTGGCTCTCTCTTGCATACGTCGTCGTCGTCTTCCTTCTCCTTTCTTCTTCTTCATTCTGGGGGTGTCCGTGAGCTCTCTTTTTCTGGACGGTGGAACGGCTTCTTTTTTTCTTGTTACCTTCAATTTTCCTTCAATTTTTCCCGCGGGGAAACTTTCTTTTCACTTGCTCCTGCCTCTTAATGGCTTGCCCTTGTACTTGTCGTTGTTCCACCTCTGGAGCTTGTGCCTGCGGTGTCTGCCGTGCCGGATCCTGCAAAAGATCTTTGAAAATTTTTGCATTTTATTACGATCATAGTAGGGTTTGATTTGATCAATGTTTGCGGAGCAGGTTTCACCATTTCTTCTGGCTTTTAACACTACTACTACAGCGTGAGTTATTTTTTCTATGAACATATGGTCCTTCAAATCGTGGAAAAAATTTGGCAGTTTTATCTTCTGGTGCTGAAGAAAGTGAATGCTTAATTTTTAAACTACTTCATCCCCTACTTTAAAAAGTTACTCCCCGTCGTTTCAAGTCGTAATAATACAGCTTTTGTTTTTCTCTGTGCTACTTCCGTATTCTTTTTTGCTTCTTTTTAATTAGTTTTTCTATATCACCCATTTTAAATTCTGGGGCTCTTTGTTGAACATAAAATAATTTATCTAACGGCGTTATAATCTTTCTGCCTAAAATAAAACTCAGCAGGAGTTTTGCCCGTTGTAATCATGTTTTGCGGTCCTAAGGGCGAAAGCAAATTCATTGACATAGTTATCCCAGCTTTTATGAAAATTTT